GGCAGAGGCAGACAGATCTCTGTGAGTTCAAGACCAGCTTCTCTACATAGACCCTGTCTCAAAAACAAAATAAAACAATAAAAATTCAAATTTAAAAACCCATCACACAATTTGAGGCAGAAAAACCAAAATTGACAAAATTCAATGCCCTCTCATGACTAAAACATTCAACAGACAGAACAGAAGGAAAAAGTCATGTATGAAAGTCTGCAGGGTACACATATTGGGGAGTGAATGACAGCTGGTGCCCTTCAAGATCAGGAAGGAGGCAAGGAGACCTGCTCTCACCGCTTCTATGCCATAGGGTCCTGCAAGTGTTAGTGGAGCCAGGTAAGAAAGAAAAGGCATTCAAACTTCAAAGGAAGGAGCAGAATGATGTTTGTAGATAACAGGCCTTATTGTGGGCTGGGATGGGCTAGGATACATGTAGCCCAGAGGTAGCTGCATGTAGCCCAGTTGTAGCCTGCTTGCCTAACATGCAGAAGGCCATGGGTTCGATCCCCAGCACTGAAACAAAACCAACATTTTCACAAAAACTGTTGGCATAACTGAATTCAGCAAAGTAAGACATACAAAGCCAATAGGCAAATGAGCTATATTTCTTCACACTAGGAGCTAACAATTCTAAAAGGAAATTAAGAAAACAATTCGAGTTACAAAAGCACGAAAAGAAATGAAATATTTAGGGATAGACCTAAGCAAGAAAGACAAAGATCTATATTTTGTAAACTATGAAACATGTTCTAGTCTTCATGAGTTGAAACAATATTGCCAGAATGTCCATACAGTGTTACCTACAGAGTCAAGAAAATCCCCACTAAAAGTCCCAGAATGTGGCTTAGTAGGTAGAGAGCTCCTCAAGCGTTCATGAAGCCCTGGGTTCCATCCCCAGCATCATATAAACCAGGTGGTGTATGCCTGTAATCCCAGCCAGCTGTCAACCTGACACAAACCTATAGACTCAGGAAGAGGGGAAGCTCAACTGAGGAATAATATCCATAACACTGGCTTGTGGGCATGTCTGTAGGGCATTTTCTTGATGGCTAACTGAGGTAGGAGGCTCAGCCCACTGTGGATGATGCTATCCCTGGGCAGGTGGGCCTGAGCTATATAAGAAAGGTAGCTGAACAAGCCAGGGGAGCAAGTCAGTAAGCAGGGTTCCCCAAGGTCTCTGCTTCGGCTCCTACTTTGGCTTCTCTCAATGACAGACTGTAATCTGTCTAAAGGTGAAATAACCCCTTTCCTCTGCAAGTTGCTGTTTGTCGAGGTGACTTGAGGTGTTTATCACAGCAACAGAAAGCAAACTAGAATAGCTATGCAGCAAGTCTGAAGCCAGCCTGGGATACTTCAGACCCTATTAGCCTACTAAAACTCAAAGGCATTTTTTTCCAGAAGTAGAAAAATAGAAAAATTCATTCTTTCAAAGGAACACAATAGTCAAAACAAGATTATAAAAGAACAAAGAAGATTAGTACTTCATGATTTTGAAACATATTAAAAAGCTACAGTAATCCAAACGGTGTGATAACAACATAAATACAAACATATCAATCGAAGAGTGCCTAGAAACCAACCCTCTGGTCTCGATCAAATGATTTTCAACAAAAGCACCAAGACCACACAAAGAAGAAAAGAAACTTGTGACACATAGCACTGGAAAAGCTGGATATCCACACATAAAAGAATGAAATTGGACCGTTAGCTCTTATTTTTATTTTTTGAGACAGGGTCTTACTATGTAGCCTTGGCTAATGTAGACCAGTCTGGACTTGAATTTGTGATCCTCCTGCCTCTGCCTCTGGAGTACAGGAATTATAGGCATACACACCATGCTCAGTTTCATAAGACTGAAAGAAAAACCACACGTTTGTGTGTGTACTTAGGGCCTTAGACCTGTGAGGCAAGCAGTGTATCACTGGCTATATTCACACTTTAAACAAATGTTCTTAACTATCTTCCCCCTACCCATCACAAACAGGAACAAAATAGAGAAGACAAATGGGTCAAGAACACTGAACGGAGGGATGGTAGGAGCCATGGGCGCTGCTCACAGGGTATATACGTGCAACCAAGGAGAGCACTCCATCGAGAACCCAGTTGGGGAATTCAGGCATAATTGGGAGATGACGCTGGTCAGCAATACACAGAATATCTGTTTACCTTCTATGAAGTGATTATGTAGATGAGGTTAGTCTCAATCTCAGAGCTCTGCCTGCCTCTGCCTCCTGAGTGCTGGGATTAAAGGCATGTGCCACCATGCCTGGCTACATTTTAAATTTTTTAAAGATTTTTATTTATTATTATTATTGTGTATGTGAAGTGTGTGAATGTGGGCATGTACATGTCAGGGCGCACATGTAGAAATCAGAGGATGACTTCTACCTTGGGTTCAGGCTTGAGTGTGTACAAGTACTTTTTACCCACTGAGCTATCCTAGTGAGTCCCTGGTCACTTTTTAAAAAAATTATGTGTGTATGAGTATATCTCTGTGTAGTAGATGCATGTGAATGCAGGTTTCTGAGGAATCCAGAAGAGGACTTTGGATACCCCTAGAGCTGGAATTACAGGCAGTAGTGGCCACCCCACTGTGTGCTGGGAACTGAACTTGGGTCCTCTGCAAAAGCAATATGTGCTCTTAAATGCTGAGCCATCTCTCTAATTCATTTTTTTTAAATATTTTATTTATTATTTTTATTTTATGTGTATGAGTATACTTCCTGCATGTGTGTAAATGTACCCATGTCATGCAATGCCCAGAGAGGTCAGAAGAGGGCGTCAGATCCCCTGGAACTTGAGTTACAGACAGTTGTTAGCCACCATGTGGGTGCTGGGAATTGAACCCAGGACCTCTGTAAGGACAGCCAATACTCAACCACTGAACCATCTCTCCAGTCCCACTTCTTTTTGTAGTGGCCCTGAGATTGAACCTAGATCCTCACACATACAAGGCTATCTCCCAACCACTGAGCTACAGCCCAACCCTTTTATGTTACTAGAAAAGCATTCGGTGAAGCGAAGAGTTCAGATTGGATGAAGGAGCCAGGTGTGTGGCAGAAGCAATCCCAGCACTTGGGAGGCAGAGGCAGGAAGATGACTACAAGTTTGAGGTCATCTGGTATATACAGGAAGACCCTGCCTCAAAAACAAAATAAGAGCATGAAGCATGCACAGATGGCAAAATGGTATCAAAGAAACCGACGTACCCAGGACTCAGAGTGCAAAACAGGACCTGAAAGCTAACTTCATCAAGTCCCCAAGAGCAAGATCTGGAAATCAAGAAATTAATAAAATAACAGGAATAGCAGGAGAGCCAGAGAGCTACCAGTGGTGCCAAGAGGTTGGAGCAAAAGGTCAGTCTGATAAACCCCAAAGGAGAACAGGAAGGGCAGTAAGAAGGAACCCCCAAAAGGAGTTGGGTCCCCAGAAAGGAAAGAGAACTTGCAAAGAGAGGCCTCTGTGGGGCTGGAAGGGTGGTGGGTCCAGGAGTGGTACCCAGGGGATCTGGGAGCTAGGTGCTGAGTAGCTGCCTCTCCTAAAATCCATCAGCAAAACATGGTTTTTACAAAGGCTCCCAGCACCATTCCTGGTTGCAAAAACCTTTCTTATACTTGACTAGATGTCCTACTGCCATACCCCAGCTATTCAGGAACAAGAACAGGTGGTCTCCTGCATCCCCGAGACCCCATTACTCCAGGAGGACAAGGAGATGAAGAACCCCCATCTACCAAGCAGATTGTACTCAGGAGACCCTGGCAGGGGGTAGAAAGGTGGCCTCTCAACAAGCATCGCAGGAAGCAGGCGGCATGCCACCCACTCAGTTCCCAGGATAGCCCACTGCAGAAACTCTCTCTGTACCTGTGCTTGGCAAAGTTCCTAAGCAGGCCCCAAAGCACTGACACGTTAGCAGAACACTGAGTGTGAATTGTGGGTGCTGTGCCATACAGAACTCAGGCACTGCGTCACAACACTCTCCCAGCAAAGCTGCCTTGAGGTAGATACAAGAATTATGCCCATTTCAGGGTTGAGGGAAGCCAAGATCCTGTGAGGCCAGGCCTCAGCTAGACACTGTCTCACCCTCATGAGCAGCAAGTGCAGCTCTCTAAGGGCATCTGTGCTTCCTGCCCAAAATTCTCAGCCAAAAGTCTAAAGATACCCAGCAAGAAGCCCTTGGACACATTTTTTTTTTTTTTTTTTTTTTTTTGGTCTTTTTGAGACAGGGTCTCCCTGGAACTCCCTCTTCTGGCCTGGAACTTGCTATGTAGACCAGGCTGTCCTTGAACTCACAGAGATCCGCCTGCCTCTGCCTCCTGAGTGCTGGGATTAAAGGCATGCACCACCACAGGTAAGGTCTCTTTTTCTAACAGCTGCTTTCTGTCATCCTGAGGGCAAAGCCTTTCTTGTCCCTGGCAAAGGATGGACTGACAGGTTTGCAGGCACTGCACAAAATAGGCCCATTTGCTTTTCCTGTGGGTCTAGAAACTCTAGGATCCTTCTGTGGCCAGAGGCCAAAATAAATTGATTGAAATCTACCCAGCAGGTAGGACAGTCCTTCCATTCCACAGCCAGGTCCTGGGCAGACCAGCAGAGGCACAGAGCACAGCCATATCCCATGCCAGCTTCAGCTTTTCCCATGAGTAGACAGCAAGCCTCAGCTTCCCCCACCCTGCTCCAAAAACAAAGGAAAAAAAATATATATATCAGACCCGAACCTGGGATGACAGGTAAAGAGTTCCAATCTCCTGACTTCTTCAAAATAAAAGACGGTCCCCTGGAATTAACAATTCCTTTAGAGGCCTCACTTCATTCAGTTACGGGCAAAACGAAGCCAGCCTCAACCAAGCAAAACTCTTTGCAGGAACATAGGGTTCTACAGCCTTGTTTCTTTTCTGCTCATGTCTACCTGCATTTAGAACCCTGTGCTCACTGTAACCAGTAAAGATACTTTTCCAAAGCACTTTCGGTGGCAAGTGCTTTATGAGAGCCACATCCCCAGACCTCTAGTATCCCTCCTCATGGTTCCCCTCCTTGGCCTTCTCTCATCCCTAAACCCAGAAAGAGCCTGTCCCTAATGATCTCATGCATCTATACAAAACCAGGGCTACAGAGCCTCCAAGTTCCTGGGCAGTAATAAAAATACCATCACCTATCACAGTGTCTGTGATTTCTTCTCCAGCCACCCAAGCCCAACCACCCCTCAACATCCAAACAGGAAGGGCCCTGTTTCCAGTGGGCTTTTCTGATGCCCTCAATAAAGGTGACTCTGACAGAACCAGGGAAGAAAGGCTGGAAACAGCCTCCTCTGGCAACTAGAGGCAGTCTCCCATATTGCCTCATCTCCTGAAGTGGCAAATGCCCAAAACAATAATTTCTAGAGCTGTAACTTTAGAACCTACCCAAGTCCTAACTAACTGGGAGGTTAAAACTACCAGGAAGCAAGTGCTCCTGGTCCTCCCTGAGTCTAAGCAAGAGGTGTCATTTCCAGCAACGCCACCCTACAGGTCACTCAGTGAGCGCTGCAGGAGAACCTCACTCCACATTGGCCGGAAAACAGAGGCGTGCTCTCATTTATGTGACCAAGTGGACTCCCAAGTGCATATCTAAAAGTAATAGATCATCTAAAGAGTTAAACCAGCCTGAACTTGCCAGCAGCCCCAGTGCAAATGACTGTCTCCAGCAGGATGTGGCCACGGGAGTGCTGGTAGGGCAGAGCAGGTAGGGGTAGAGGCAGGGCAGGGACACGGGGGCAGACTTAAAGAGTCCGCCATAGGATGAGTTCTGTGATTTCTGCCCTGCTCCCCAGCCTCATAGGTATCCCATAGTAAGCTGTGCCTGGGCTGACATACACAAATGTAGCCTGAGCCACTTGGTAAAGTCCAGCAAAGAAGGGGTTCAAGAGATAGGCCCCAACATTCCAGGGGAAGATCTGCCCAGCATGTGTGTGCCCAGAAAGGATCAAGTTAATATCTGGTCGTGCCTGGAGGGCTCTCTTGGCAGCCAGAGGCTGGTGAGCCAGCAAGATGGTGACATGGTCTGGCCCGCAGCCCTCCAGGGCCTTGGTGAGATTCATGCCATGGCCTGAATAGTGCAGGATGTCTGCCTCAATGTCATCCACACCTGCCAAGCAGATCCAGTCATCCTTACCACCATGCAGGTCCCTGGGGTCATAAATCTTTCTGTTGTCATTGTGCAGAGGCCACACATGCAGGGACTCCAGCAGCATGAACCAGTTGGTGACATCTGATGTGTAGTACTCATGGTTACCTGTGACGAAGTAGTTGCCCAGGCGGGAATGGAGCTGGCCCAAAGGAGCAACTGCTGTCAGCAGGATGGAGGCTTCTGAATCAGAGAGGTCACCCACTATCACTGTGATGTCTGGATCCAACCTGTTCACCATCGTCACAAACATCTCCATCTTGGTCTTGCCCACCGTGGGCCCCAAGTGAATGTCGGAGAGGAGCACAATCTTGAGGTGGTTCATAGAGGGGGGCAGCTGTTGGATGGGTACCCACACAGTTTTCACTACTGGGGGCTGGGCGGCATTTAGAAGACCAATGGTGCTGAGCACAGCTGTTACCACCACTGCCAGGGCAGGCCTGAGAAGCTGCTTTCTTGTCTTGTCAATGCTGCCCATGGCTCTACCATTGCGCCAGGCCAAGAACTGATAGGCCTGCTCCATGGAGCTCAGGATACAGAGGAAGAAAACCATGATGATATAAGCGCCCAGGCAGGAGTAGGCTGCCAAGGAAAAAAGATAGGGCTCCTCTGCCACTAAGAAGATTGTGGTGAAGAAACTGGAGTGTGCCAGGGCCAGAAACACTGTAACCACCAGCTTCCAAAGCTGGAAACAGATGGGCTTCAGCATCTGGGAGTGGCTGAGATTGCTCACTGTGCTCCGCCAGATGTAGAGAGAACCAACGAGCATAACTGAGTTGACAAACAGGGCGAGTTGCAGGCGAAACAGCCAGCGCCAGGCTTGGAGCTCAAGGGTCTCTGCCAGAAAGGAGCGAGAGAGGATCATAGACAGGAAGAGAGTGGCTGCAGCCAGGGCGGCCTTGGAACCCAGGGACAGCTGCCTGAAGAGTGCCATTTTCTCCTCTCTGGAGTCCCCACCAGCTCTGTGCAGGCAGACTCTGGAAGGTGAGTGACCTTCTTAGAAAGGGCAGTAGTGTCCAATGAGAGATTTCCAGGTCAGTTCAGCCTGTAACCAGGAACTGGCATCAGCTTTGTGGGATAGTTTATCAGAGAGTCCTCATCCCCATTCAAAACCCCAAACCACTTAAATCAGTCCAACCTGCCTCTAATCCACAGCACTTAAATATCAGTCAGTTGCTACATGTTATTATTAAAAACACACAGGATTATGACATAATGGGAAGCTTTCTTGTTTGTTTTATTTTGAGACAGGGTCTTATATAGCCCAGGATGGCCTTGGACTCACTATGTAGGCAAGGATGAACTTGAACTTCTTTTTTTAATTTTCTTATATGTATGAGTGTTTTGCCTGCATGTATCTAAGTACATATATGCCCACAGAGACCAGAAGAGGGTATTGGATCCCCTGGAACTGAAGTTATAAACAGTTATCAGCCACTGTGTGGGTGCTGGGAACCAAACCAGGGTCCTATCCAATAGCAGCCAGAGCTTGTAACTGCTGAGCCATTGCTCCGGCGCTAACATTGAACTTCTTATCCTCCTGGCTCTTCCTACCAAATGCTGGGATTACAGGCATCTACCACTATGCCTAGTTGGCTTACGTAGTGCTGGAGGTAGAACCCTGGTCTTCCTGCATGCTAGGCAAGCATGCTACCAATCAAACCACATTTCGAGCCTCAGTTTTCATCATCTTAACAGTGTTTTAAAATTTCCATACAATGAGCATGAACTGTTTTTTTGTAATAGAAAAAAGCATTATTCTAAATTATCAGTTATCAATATGTAATCTGGGGAGATCCTCTAATTGAGTCAAAACAATTTTCATAACAACATAATCCATCACTGCCTTTCCATTCTTACTCCCCCAGTGAGTGTACAATGGAGTTTTCCAGAGACCGCCAACCCATGATATGGCTTCAGATGTCAAAATAGGTTTCCTGGGGCTGGGGATGTAGCTCAGTTAATAGAGTGCTTATCTAGCATGCACAAGGACCTGAGTTTGAGCAGATGCACCACAGTCACAATGTGCTGCTCACCTGTCCTCCCAGCATTTGAGCAATTGGAAGCAGGAGGATCACAAGTTCAAGGCTATAACCAACTACATACCAAAGTTGAGGCCAGCCTGGGCTACAAGAGACCCTGACTTAAAAACAAAACAAAACGGACTTCTATTAAGAATGTAGGCACTGCCAGGCGTGGTGGCACATGCCTTTAATCCCAGAGGCAGAGGCAGGTGTATCTCTATGAGTTCAAGGCCAGCCTTATCTACATAGTGTCCAGGCCAGCTGGAGCTACAGGGAGACCCTGACAAAAAAAAAGAAAAAAGAAAAGAAGAATGTAAGCACTGCAACTCTATCCTAAAATTGATTGTGAGACACTTATAGAAGGACATTGCTTATTAATATGTAATGGGTTTATGACTTCTTAAAGAAATACATATACTTTTTTTTTTTTTTTTGGTTTTTTTGAGACAGGGTCTCCCTGTAGCCCCAGCTGTCCTGGAACTCACTATGTAGACCAGGCTGGCCTTGAACTCACAGAGATCCGCCTGCCTCTGCCTCCCGAGTGCTGGGACTAAAGGGTTCGCCACCACGCCCGGCTTAGAAATGGATATACATTTTAACTTTTTGTCTATAACTAAAATTTGAAACTGTTGCAGGTGCAAACAGGAAATAATGGAGGGCTAGCCTGCTGGTTTTTCCTTTGGCCTTTATCCAGCTGCTCCAGAGAAACACCTAAGAATTCCTGGGGAAACGCGAGGCGGCCTCTCCGAGAGGGCACCACATACCTTCCTACCTAAGCTGTTATACCAGATTGATGACCTTCATAAATTCTTCTCTTCCTGCCCACCCTGATACTGGCTGAGATCTGAGTTCCCTTCTACCCTTTACCCCGCCTCTCTTCCCCTGAACTCCCCCATCTGCTAGCCTTCCCCCTCCCCCAATGAAAGCATTCCCAGCAGCTGTGAGTACTCGCCAAATACTTAAAAATCTCAACCCTTATTTTGAATAAACGTGTGCCATTTCTCTGTCCTCGATGCGTATCCAAAGCCTTGCATTAATTGTCTAAAACTTTTAGAGAGAAGAAAGCTCAAAGTGCACCCACTTGGACTTGAACTTACCCCAGACTCAGCCCATCTGAACTCTGGAGGGCCTCAAGTTGACTGGCTGAAAGTGCAAGGGGCAATAGTCGCTTTCCACCACGCCCTGTCCCTCGTGGTGCCGGCCTCTCCAGGTGCCTCACCTACTGGCCTCACCAGACCGCGGTCTTGCCAAGCAGATAGCCTCCAGCACCTGGCCTCTTCCCACCCTCCGCCTGCACCGCCAAGCCCTAAAAAAGGACTGAGCACCTGCACCGCCAAACCCTAAAAAAGGACAGAGCAAGGTGATGAACACCCCAAACCAAAAGTAGGCGGGCAGGTGGTTACCTAGAGGCGGACGAGATGTTTGAAAAGGGAAATGTCCCCGAAAGCAATCACTAGGATGTCCCCACTGCAGGAGCGTCTTCGGACCCCATTTTTCTCCTTCTGGAACGCTCCCTGAAGCAAGATAGACAAGGATCGCGCCTCACTCCATCACCGACGGCGCCCTCCAGCAGCCGCGCGCAGCAGGAGCCCCTCGCCCCAGAAACCGAAGCTGGAAAGATTTAGGCGCACGCCATCTAGCTCCAAATCGCGTTACTCAAAGCGGAAAGCAGCTGCCTGCACCAGAGCTGGCCGGAGCGGAACCGGAGCTCGCCAGCAACCAGGAAGGACGCGCGGCCCGCCCGGCCCTCTAGCCGGCCCGCCCCATACGCGAGGCCCGACCATTGCCTGCACCCCGCTGCTGGCTGCCGGCTTGGGGGGGGGGCGATGGGGGGGTCCCCGGACTTCCGCTCTCAGAGCCCTGGGTGGCCCCAGCCTCCGCCAGGTTCCTAGCAGCGATGCTTCCCCACTCGGTGGCACCTCAGACTTACCCCGAAGCCGGACGCAACGCTCAGCAGCAGCGCCACCAGGAGCAGGGACAGCTTGGGAACCAGGATTCTCGTCATGATGGCGCTGCAGCTGCGGTTCTGCTCGGCTCAGCTCTGCAGTGGGCACCAGGGCCAGCCACTTGGCCTCCCAAGGCTGAGGACCGGCCGTCTGGCCCCGCCCCGGGGAGGACCCACCCCCAGAGTCCTACCCCCACCCTCAGCTCCGCCCCGCCCCAAGGCTCTTGGCTGGGAGCAGGGACCCAGGCCTCTTCTGGCCATGTGACTCCGGCTCAGCTTTCTTTAACCAGCAGGCAGCTGCTGGTCCCTCTGGTAATGCTTGGTAATGCTTGGCAGCTGGACATCACCAGGGGCCTCTTGGCTGCCTGGAGATAACTGAATGAGGAAATGGAAAACACTGAGACCTAAATGCTCTTGGTTGTAGAAACCTAGCCCCATAAAATCCGAAACCTAGCTTGTGGCCTCACACTCACAAGGTGTGCACACACATGTCCATGGTCCAGGTGATTCAACCATAACTGGAAACTTAGGAACGCAAACTCTGGGGGTCCCAGTTCTCTAAGCTATGAACCATGAAGGTTATTTCAGTGCGTTTGGTTACTGAGAAGTTGAACAGAGTGACTCAGCTGTGGGGAAGATAATCCAAATGCCAGCCTCAAGTTACAGTAGGTTCATTTCCATCTTTGGGTTTTCAGTGATGAGAGCAGTAACCATTTCCTGGTTGAGCTGATCTTTCCGCCTCTGGCTCCTGAGTGCTGAGTGCATGTACCGCCACACCTGGTTTAAGTGAGATTGACTTAAATATACATATTTAAGACTTCCTAGTCCTATTAAGTTGTAACCTATAACTCATTTTAGGTCTTGTCTCGTTTTATTTGTTTTATCTATTTTTGCAGTGCTGGGAGTGGAACCCAGGTCCTCATTAATGCTAGGCAAGTACTCCACCACTGAGCGGTAGCCCTTATTCACTTTTTATTTTGAAAAATAAATATGTGGTTGCTAACTGACCGACTGTTCTTCTGACCAGACTTTAGAGCCTCTGTGTCATCTCCCTGGGTCTCAGCGTTGGTCATCCCAGTTAGTTCTGTCCTTGGGGGGCATTGGTCACTCAGGCTCAGCAAGAATTCTGCTGTCAGAGCCAGACATGTTGGCTCACCCCTCAAATCCCAGCACTCCAGAGGCTGAGACAGGAGCATTGCCATGAATTTGAGGCCAGCCTGGGCTACATATGTTGGTTTAGATAGAACTCCCCAAACACTGAACCCTCTGCCAATTGTCTGCACAGTCCAGTTGCATATTCTGCTTGGAGTCTGGTGAGATCTCTCACCTACTGTCATGGCATTGAACCCTATTTAAACAGTCAAATGAAGTCTTCCTTAGAATTTTATTGGACAAGAATATGTTTTTCTTGGGCTGGTCAGTGGATAAAAACACTCACCATGTAAGCCAGACAACCTGAGTTCAGTTCCCAGAATCCGCCCTGGAAGGAGAGAACTGACTCCCCAAAGTTGTGCTCTGACCTTCACACACATTGTAGTATGGGCATACCCATGCTCACATCATACACACACAATAATAATAAAATATTATTTTTTGGTCTTTTTTGAGATAGGGTCTCCCAGTAGCCGTAGTTGGCCTGGAACTCACTATGTCGACCAGGCTGGCCTTGAACTCACAGAGATCCGCCTGCCTCTGCCTCCCTAGTGCTGGGATTAAAGGCGTGCGCCACCACGCCCGGCTAAAATAATGTTTTTTAATTTAAAAAAAGGAATACGTTTTTCTTTAACATTTTTTAAATGTGAATTTTTTAAGAGGATAAAAAATAGTTTCATTTTCAGTCCTGAGAGTGATGGAGATAAAAGTCAAGGATAGAGGATACCTATGGGGGTGATGCACTAAGATTGGGAGAGGCTGATGGGGGCTGGAGAGTGTTCCTTCACCTGCAGGGTGGTTGTCATAAAATAACTCATCAAGTCATCTGCTTGTTTTGTATTGCTTTCTATAACTAAGTTTTGTTTTTTGGGTTTTTTTTTTTTTTTTTTTTTTTGGTCTTTTTGAGACAAGGTCTCTCTGTAGCCGCAGCTGGCCTGGATTCACTAATGGAGACCATGCTAGCCTGGAACTCACAGAGATCCTCCTGCCTCTGCTTCCCAAGTGCTGGGATTAAAGGCGTGTGCCACCATGCCTGGTTATAACTAAGTTTTTAAAAATAAGGTTTTTGTTTTTCTGTTTTACTTTTTAAAAAGCTAAACTAGTAATCTTTGGTATTCTAGAAAACCTTTTATATTGTATAGCAAAATAGGAGATTAGGCGTGGTAGTCCATGCTTATAATCCTTGCACTGCAGAGGCTAAGGTAGAAGGATTGACAGTTCCAGGCCAACTTGAGCAACAGAGTGAAACTTGTCCCTAAAAATAAATAAACAGAGCTGGAGAGATGGTTCAGTGGGTAAAGCATTTGCCACACAAACCAAATAACCTGAATTTGGATACTCAGAACCCACAAACGTGGTAGCACTGTCTGTAATCGTAGTGTGCCCTTACTGGGGACATGGGAGTAAAAAAATGGGATAGTTGGGGCTGGAGAGATGGCTCAGTGGTTAAGAGCACTGACTGCTCTTGCAGAGGACCTGGATTTGCTTCCCAGTACCCACAGGGCATCTAACAGCCATCTGTTAACTCCAGTCCCAGGGGATCAGACACCCTCTTCTGGCCTCCTTGGACACTGTACAACACGGGTGCACTTACATACACGCAGGCAAAACACTCTTACGTGCAAAATAAAAATATTTTAAAAGCAGGAGAAAGCAACGTGGGAATAAATATGTGGCTCCTGCGTGCACAAAATGTGATGCTTGTCCAACAGCAGGAACTGTGAATGAAAGTTCCCAGAAGAATTATGTCTTGAAATTGAATCTTCTGCAAAGGCTGGTCATGTGATTAGAATTTTTTTTTTTTTTTTTTTGAGAGAGGGTCTACCTATAGCCCCAGCTGGCCTGGAACTCACTCAGGCTGGTCTCAAACTCACAGAGATCCACCTGCCTCTGCCTTCTGAGTGCTGGGATTAAAAACCTGTTGGAATGTATTAACTTAGCAGACCACCAGCTTTCACCAACTGAAAAGCTGAATGTCATCAGATAGCATCTGAGGCCTAGAGCTGAGGGTTCTCTTTTGTTGTATCCACCTACTTAATGTTTCACCAATGTATTTGAATTTTTTTATTATTTTTATTTTATTTTAGGTGTATGAATGTATTGCCTACACGTATGTAAGTGCATCATATCCCCTGGAATGTCCCTGGATGGCATCAGATCCCCTGGAACTGGAGTTAGGGATGGTTGTTAACCTCCATGTGGGTGCGGAAATTTGAACCCGGGTCTTCTGCAAGTAGCCAGTGCTTTTAACCATTGAGCCATCTCTCCAGCCCCTACCACCAATGTATTTGAAAAGCATCTTGATTTACAGCTTTCTTTGTTCTGTTACTATAAAAACTCCATGAAACTGTTACTATGTTGGAATATGGAATTTGGAATAACCTGAATCTGTGTTCCCAGACCATGGTCACTCATATTTGGCTCCAGAAGAAACTAGCTCTTATCCCTTTTGAGACGAGAATTCTGTTTTTGCATTGACACTTAACAACTCATAGCAGGGATTGTGCAACTGCTGCCCAGCTTCCTCATCATCCTGTTCCATATGAGCTACTTTCAGGGACTGCTTGCAATATATTGTCTAGTCTGTCAGTCATTTTCAGGCATCCTTGTATATCTTTATATTACTGAAGGTAGGGTCATGATGGTATTCCATGAGATGATGTCCAGATTTTTTGTGTCTTGAATAAACAATTGAGCAAGACACAGAAAAGCAGTAGCAAAAATGTACATTCATTACAAATGCAAGTGAAAGCAAAAAGGACATTCCACAGAGGACTGGGATTCAGCAAGCAAGTGACAAGTGACTCAAGAGTCCCCTGGCTCTGGGTTGACAGGCTTTTAATTAAAAAAGGGAAGGAACAGGGGCTGGAGAGCTGGCTCAGCAGTTAAAAGCACTGGCTGCTCTTGTAGATGACCTGGGTTTGATTCCCAGCACCCACAAGGCTGTAACTCCAGTGTCAGAGGAATCTGACGCCCTCTTCTGACCTCTGTGGGCATTGCACAAGACGGGTTAAAATATTTTATTCATCATTTTTATTTTATGTGTATGAGTGTATTGCCTGCATGTATGTGAGTACACCCATGTCGTGCAGTGCTGCAGAGGTCAGAAGAGGGCTTCGGATTCCCCTGGAACTGGAGTTAAGGAAGGTTTGTAGCCGCCATGTGGGTGCTGGGAATAGAACCTGGGTCCTCTGCAAGAACAGTCAGTTCTCTTAACCCCTGAGCCATCTCTCCAGCCCCAATAAAAATATTTTTTTAATCATATTTTTTTTTTGGTCTTTCTGAGACAGGGTCTCCCTGTAGCCCCAGCTGGCCTGGAACTCACTATGTGGAGCAGGCTGGCCTCGAACTCGCAGAGATCCACCTGCCTCTGCCTCCCGAGTGCTGGGATTAAAGGCGTGCACCACCATGCCTGGCAATCATATGTTTTAATCATATGATGAGATACAATCCATATGCATCACCCCTTTAGAGGTTTGTGATGTCCCAAAGATCACCTTGGGACAAACTTCTTCTTAGTGCCCATGCATGTCTCTAAGAGAATCCCCTACTGGGTTTTACTTCCTGAGTGTGCTTGGATTTTTTTTCCTATTTGTTGGAGGGGGTTGTACAATCCAAGAGATGATCTGGGAAAGTCCACCAGACAGTCATTTTCAGTTGCTAGGTCCCAGAGTTAACTTTCCTATGACTCACAGTCATGAACACTTGAGCCTATCTTTCTGTTCCTCTTGGTGCACCCTGTTCATTAAGAAGCCGCATCATCCCATCTCACATAGAGGAAGACGGCCACACTGGAACTTCTGCCAAGGAAGATCTACCTTGATTTTCCCCATCGCCCGGTATTAAAAGCCTGCAGCAAGAAAGCATGTCATTCCACACTACATGGAAAAAGACAACCACATCAGGATCACTCTCACAGACGTTCCATCCTTACACAGCTCAGCCTAGACTGCATGTCTTGTCTCCCCGTAGCAGGGGTCGTGCATCTGCTCCTCTCAGACTCATCTTTGATCCTAT